AACTTTGTGCTACGGACTGTGCGCGACGAAACTTCTGTCGCGCATAATTATGTGCGACTAAAATCATTTTTGCGCGACGAAGACCCCTTCGTCGCGCAAAGACTAAAATGTAGTAGTGAATATTAATATATTTTTAAAAAGATAAGATTAAAACTTTAAAAAAAAAAAAAATTTAAAAAACTCTCTCTCGCCCTCTTCTAACCTATCACCCCACCATGGCACCCCACCTCCCTCCACCCTCTCTCTCTCTCTCTCTCTCTCATCAGATTCGGGGGTGATGGTCAGGCAAGCAAAGAATCGGGTTGGGATTTGATGCAAGAACATAATCAGTTTCAATGGTTGGGGAGGCATAGGCCAAATCTGGAATGGTGGTTATGGCTCTTTGTTATGAACTTGAAATTGTGTGTAGTTGCTGTGATGGTAGAAGTTGAACTGGTGTTTACCTAGGTACTCGACATGAATTGTAGATACTAACTATGAAATCTTGTACGTTGGGCCCAACTATGCAGCCACAGTAATAAGAAATGGTAACAAAGTTACAATTAATTTCTTCAAGGCATTTAAGATAGGGCCGCCGGTGCTGCTCTAGAAGGAGAGATAGTACAGAGGAAGAGGGAGAGGGGGAGAGAGAACAGAGGGAAAAGACGGCAGAGAAGAAGACGGAAGGGAAGGGCTGGCGACAAGTTTTTTAATATTTAAATTCAAGTTTTAATTTTCTTTTTCTTTTTTCTAAAAAAATTAATTTAATTTTTAAATATATTAAATCTTTTATTAAAGTTACGTGGCACTATGTTATTCGATGTGTGGCCCCACATATATGCCACATCAGCATTTTAATAGAAAATTTGACTGAAACTGATGGCAGACTATTTTGATTTGTGAAGGATAACCTTAAGGACCATTAGTATTACACCAAAAAAAAAAAAAAGGACGAAAGACGATAAACCCCAGGACTATTTATGATAAAAAGCCTTCTGTAAATGTTGTAACATATATGATCACTATGTTTTACGATTCACGGAGACTAAGATACATCATGCATGGCTACATTGCCCTTCTAGTGCTTTTTGTGGTCGTGCATGCGTACTGAGATAAACAACAGAAGATATAATATAGAAAACAAAGCACGGGATGCATGTCCGCGATAGTGGATTTTAGTTTTTTTTTTAATGGTATGTGATGAAAGAACGATGTGGGATAAGGAAAGAGACATTTGGTACCTGTTTCCTAAAAGCTTATGAAGCCTAATTATTAGATCTACTTCATCCTCTGCAAACTCTCCTCTCTTGATATTTGGCTTCAAATAGTTTAACCACCTTAGTTTACAGCTCTTCCTGCACCTGTTCAACCCTGCACCCATGCATAATGCAAAAATTGAGTTTTTATCACAAAATTTGTCATGAAATTATCAGGCTGCGTCTTAAACTTCGTTTTTGTCTTTGTTACAGCATGCATATCTACAATGTGTTTTCTTGAGGAAGTTCCCAATGTTGGATATCAAAATGGCCTTTTATGTATGACATTGCTTGAGCAGAATACGTACAGAAAACCAATTGACAATGAGTGGAGAAGTTCAGGATATCGTTTTTGTGTGCGTTAAGAAACAATACTAAGACAACGCTTCACTACTTAATTAAGCTGTAGCTATATATACCATATATCTATCTCTCTTTTGGGGTTATATTTCACGTCAATACTTGCTTTGTAAGGAACTTGGTGCCACTTTCCTTCTCCTTGATTCTCAATGCACTGCCTCAGAAGATCATCTTCCTCTCTAGTCCAAGCTCCTTTTCTCACACCCAAGTCATAACCCTCCATGTTTTCATTTAGCCAGCGTTGTATGCTTGCAGCCAGCTTATTTTGGGCCTGCTAGTTACTTCAAGCGTCCAGAGCCGTAAATAAAGGGTCTCTCACGGCATGGAGACCATCAAATTAAACCTTACCAGGTCAGTGACGTGCATGCCTCATATCCTATTAGTATGAAAATTGTATTGTCATTTCCTAGACTTTAGCATAGGTTGGGAATTAGTGTGTAAACATGTCTTACTGGAAGTTTTGGCGCAACACATTCAATCCCGGATTTCCAAAGTGTGACTTGATCGATATGAGGAAACTGATTTAAGGTAAATCATGACATAATCATGCATTCATTATAGGAAACCTAGTTGGAATCACCACTACGTTTTACTATTTGCGCGATGAACACAAATTCGTCGCGCAAAATGCACTACAGCGACGGAAAAGAATATTTGTCGCACAAACCACTGAAAACTGGCGCGACCAAATTTTTCGTCGCGCAAAATGTCTTAGCGCGACAGAAAATTTATTCGTTGCGCAAAGTGAGAAAAAAAAACTAGGGGGTTTTTTTTTTTTTGGCAACAGACACTTGCGCGACGAGAAAAATCGTCGCGTAAGAGAACCTAGTGTGACGGTTGGACACTTCGTCGCGTAAAGGTGAACAGAAAACAGTTGGTTCCGTTATTTGGCGACAAAAACTTGTGCGACGACAGTTTTCATTGTCGCGTAAGAAAATGAGGGGTTTTTTTTTTTGGGAGCCAAAATATTTGTGTGGGATATTTTTTTTTGCGCGACGGAAATAGTGTTTGTCATGTAAAGTTTGATGTCGGTACATTCTTGCGCGACGAAAGATTGATTTTGCGAGACGGAAAGTTATTTTTGCTAAACGAAAGTTTGTGCAACGAACCATATTATGCGTCGCACGTTGCGTGAATGTTGACGGGGGTAAATTTACTGGGAATTCAGTACGTTCTTTGGGTAAGTATTTCTTTTCATTAGTTTAAAAATATTAATGTAAATTCGTATAACGCTACTAATTTCGTTCTCGAGGAATAGGTACTCCCGGAGCCTTTGAATGACAGCCCTAGAGTCCTCATCCAAAGGGGCCGGGGCCGAGTTGCCTCCTTCTTCATGAAGATTGCCATATAACCCCTCGAGATCATCGGAGGAAGTGGTTCCCATAAAATGGAAAAAGGGAGTCAAAATGGGAAACAACCAACTAGGACATGGCAAGTGACAAAGTGAAAATCTAAATACTTACTTCAGCAGCTGACGGCGCGCTAGGAGCTTCTGCAACAACAAGCTCGGTCAGAATCGTTGAGGAGACGGGCGGCGGGCTTGGCACGTCAGTAGCTATAGCCTCGACCACTACAAGCTCGGTCACTGCCGCCGAGCCCTGGGACCGGGGCGCCACAGGTATACTCGTGACGACTGCGGGTAGTGACAGTGACGACCAGGGAGGCTGGAAACAAAAATTTCAGTCAAAGGCAGGCGGCGGAATTCTGAAAATAAAACGAATGTACAGTAAGAAAATCCTTACGGAGCGGATCATGATGCCACCTGGACGACAAGGGGCGGAATGCAACGGCCCAACGAGCGCCGTAACGGCCAAGGTAGGCACGGCGGAGGCAGCCGAAGGGATTTCCACTAGGATGGCCTGCGTTGGGTCCACGGCAAGGACCTCGTCGTCCAATACGTCCGCGGCGGCCTCCTCAGTGGCTGGCACCTCTGCGACCGCTGCCTCGGCATGCATAGTTGCCGCCACCTCGGCGGTGGCTGTCCCCTCAGTTGCTACCTCATCAGCGGCCACCTCATCGGCCAATTCCTCGGACACTGCCTCGCCCTGAGGAAAAGACCAGATTATTAGAAAAGAAAGAGGAGGGTGTGGCCTGGAAAAGAAGAAAAAGAGGTGATCGAGGAGGAGTACTTACGGTCATGAGAGGGGCGTCGCTCACAATCCCAGGGGGGACTTCTTCCTCGTCCTCGGCCTCCGAAAGGATGAGGAGGACCCTTTTCCTTAGCCGCTCTAGCACCGCCGTCTCAATGGCAACACCTTCGGTCGTGGCGGCCTCAACTGCTGCGGCTCCAGTGTTTGGGGCCTCTCGATCCCTCTTGCGACCCAGGGCTGTGTGTACAGGGAAAAGTAAGAGGTAAAAAGCAAGTAAACAAAGACAAGGGTGACTTGGAGAAGCTAACGGCAAAGCGAAAAGAAAGAGGGCTTACCAACGGCAGCGATCGATTGAGTGGGCTGGGCCGATGGCACGGTCCTATGCGCTGAAGCCTTTTGCACCCCACTATAGCCGGCGCTCTGGGGGTCGGGGCCGCAGTTGAGGTCACGACCGCTGCTCTAACCGAAGGAGGGGCTGCCACCCTGGGTACGGCCGCGGCCGGCGTGCTCGGTCGAGGAAGCACGGTCGGGGCCTTCTTCCCCTTGGTAGCCTTGGGGACGAGGGGGTCCCAGTCTGCATTCTTCAGAGCCCCCTTCACGGCCTCTTCAACGGGCCGAATGAATCTGGCCGAGATGCACTCCTCGTACCAGACTCATCCATCCTTGTCATAAGTATTACGACGCAGCCAAGGCGTTAGAGTGAGGAAGGTCATTCCCTTTTGAAGTTGAAAGGAAATGCCAGCCACGCCGTGTTGCTGGACGACGTCGGCCCTCTAAGACGAGAGCCGATTGATTGACAATGGGGGAAGCGGTGCCGTCTGGATCAAGCCAAACTACCGCACCACGAAGTTCGGCAGATAAACCTCGGCCCCAGCCTTGGCCAGGCCGCAGTGAAGGTCGAGCGCGACCAGGAAGGAGCCCCAGATTTCTTTCAAATCGTTCTCCGTTTCACCATCAGGGATCACGGAGAGGTCGTGCGCCAAGAACAATGGATACGGCCGAGCAAGGCACACCCGGAACTGCGACCCAGTCCTCTCGACCAAACCATAGAAAAATTTATAACAGGAAGTCGAGGCATTATGCTTTCTGGGGGCCCGGGCAAACGCATTGGCCTACGGCTCGGTGTCGATGATATTGGCCGCTCCCCTCAGCTCTGGGAAATAAGCCTGCAGCCAAAACTGGAAGGCCCATAGTGGACCACCGTGCTTCGGCTTCATCTTGTCTGAGACAACGTCGTGAAGCATGCGGTAGATATGACTGGGGAGGAAAGGGCCGAGCGCCAGCCTTCCGCCCTGCGCAAGATAGTCGGCCAGGTGGGCAAACTCCAGGGTGACTTTATTCGCCTGGGTGCAGAACACGAACTTGCATAACCAATACAGCAAGGACGCGACATGCTCGACCTCGCCCAAGGGAGCAATGGAATCGTCATCGGCGCCGTCCTCCACGCCGAAGTTGCTGTAGAAGCTGGAATAGTTGAGCATGTTCTTCGCCTTGCTCCCAGCAAGCATGTCGACCGTAGGCCATGCGGCCTTAAAACTCCCTTCGGCCTCAAGGGCCACCAGAGTGGCATTTACTTCCACACCGAGGGGAGAGAGGCCGAATAAAGCAGCCATGTCTAGAACGGTCGGCGTCATCATACCAAACCGAAGGTTCATGGTATTTGTGACCGACGACCAGAAGCATAGGGCCGCGGCCAAAAGTGACCGGTTCATGACTAGCGGCAGGTCGAACAGCTTGATCAAGTGGTAGATGCCCTGATCCCTCCATTGCTGGCCGAAGAAGTGCTCCATCCTCGGCAACCATTTCTCCTAGTCTGGGGTCGAGGTTGGCCATTGGGGCTGCGGTCTGGCGACGTTCCAATCTTGGAAATCCCCCTCATCAAAGGCCGAGAGGTCCACCAAATTGTTTTTCAAGTGAGCCACCAGCCTCTCTGGCATCCCGCCATCTACAGAGGGGCCGAGGACATAGGAGTCGGTGGCAGTGCCATCGTCATCAGTCCAAGGCGTGACGATGTTGGGTAAGACCGAGTCCTGAATTTCTCGGCAAATGTCTTCGAATTCAGTCTGAAAGGCTTGGGACCAAGCTTCAACAGATGTAGGGGTGTTAGAGGCCATTGCAACGGATTAAAGTGAGGATATGTTTGGAAAAAGTCGAAGGAAGGGTGATGAACACAAAGAACACTAGGGGGCCGAATGCTTAGAAAAGGGGCAGAGAGTTCGAGATTTTTCAGAACAACACAAGGAAGGCAATTGAAGTCGGTGGTCACTAACAAAGGGGGATAACTGTGTAGAAAGGGGTTGAGGTGCTGAAATATGGAGTTCGAAAGGGTTGAAGAGTTAAGAGAAAGGTTTGGCAGAATTTGGGCGTTTGAAGGTTCTGAAAGCGCAAGGAAGGGATGAAGAATGATAGGCTTTTATATTGGCGCTAGAATTCGAAACGAAAGGGCGTGGCTCTCTCGAGAGACGTAACGGCCAGACAAGCGTGCTCAAAGGGCGCGATGACGTGTCGAAAGCCCAAAGGCCATCGCTTCATTTGACGGGACGAAACGACGGCTCGCGCAAGCCTGGCCAATGATGGCCTGAGAGACGTGCTTGCACATTTAATGCGCCGATTGACTTACGCATTTAAAGCACCAACTGTCAATCATTTCCAGGGGAATGCAAAGGGTCTATCCCTTGGAATCCTTTCGGCCTCTGCCCAGGGCGCGACCGAAGAATCAAGGGATGTGGGGGCAATGTTTGTGCCTAATAAAACACAGTCATGAACTGATTGGAGGGACTTCCCTTCGGCCCTGACGCCTAGCGTTTCGTCAAGCATTTCGCCCTCCTAAGAGCAAAAGAAAAGCTGCAAAGGGAGAATCCTCTTGGCCTCGCGACCACAGTTTTGAAGACCGAGGCCAAAGGCCGCAAAAGACACGGTCCGAAAAAGCTGTGGTTGAATCGCCACGTGGCCTCAGGGCCCCACGCTTCATTTGATGAAGTAATGCCTCTGACTTCGCAGCAAAACCAACTAGTTAGAAGAATCATTCAATGCACGAGGGGAGTGGCTGAAGTCAGGGTTTGGTGATGGGAATCAGGGTGGTTAGGCGCATACATTCTCACAAGTAATCTTACAACTTAGGGTCAGATTATCA